CTGCTCTCCTTGTCTCTCTGTAAGGCTGCAAATTTCAGAATTCAGAAAAATCACCTCAGATATTTAAGCTATGTCACTCACCCAGGCAATTCTGATGCTGATGCTAGGAATTTCTAGATAAGACTTTCTTGAAATAAGTAAATCCAAGGTCCTTCCTCAGTCTTCATTCCACCGAAGTTTTTGTTACTGGTAATTGCCTTGAAACTCTCTACCATGACCTCATGATGTTATGTTACTCAGTACCTGACCTCTCCTTCAGTGGTGTCACTTCTTTTCGTTCTCTGAAAATAGTACTGCCAATTCTGATGGTTGAACAAAAATATCGCTATGCTCATGATTCCCAAATTTGCACCCCTGGCCTCAACTTCTAGTCCAAGTCTTTAATTGCCAGTTCTTCTAGAACACATCATTATCATTTCAGCATCAACATATCCCAACCACTTTCCTCTTCTTCCTACCTCACAAACTACACAATTCCTCTACCTAATACTGATGACACTGGAAGTGTTTTCTCTATTTCTCTTTATGGAAGACCATTTTGCAACTAAATAGACCTAGAAAAGAGTCTGGTTTACAATAAACATATGGTTCAGAATAAATGATATTATCTTTCCCAGGCAGTAAATGATTTTAAGATATTAAAAATCATCAGCACATCTAACTTCTTGGTTCTTGTTAGTGGCCACTCTAAGCTAATCTACCACTTGTTCTGTGCCTGAAAAGAATCAACACTGACGATAAATGTAATTTCTCACCCAAAAAGTAGAGTTGCAGAACTCTTCCAGCATGATTCCTGGAGTACTTCTGGAATGAAGACTCTTCTATGACTGGTTGTCTCTTCTTTACTCTTTTCCTTGGAGGAGGTGGAAGGTGAATTATGTGTTATCTCCCATTCTGATGTCCTGAAGTTCCAACTAGAGGCAGGTCTCCCGACCTTTCATCTCAACAGTTTAATTGTTAACCTTGCCTGGACACATGTTCACATTATCTCAGTGGGGAGTCATGTGACAGAAGAGCCCAGGGACAGGTAAACTCATCAGTTCCCAAAGTACCAGAAGCCTCTGAAGGCATGATCATACACTAAAACCACCAACAGATGTCAGCAGAGCTAGCCGACAGATCAAGAGTACAGTAACTTCCATTCTCTTTACCCATGACCTATCGAGGGCAGCGTCAATAGAGGGGCATACACCCCTAAACATGCAGTTTCACTTCTGTCTTAAGGATTTAGAATGTATAGAAATGCAAAATATGCTACTTTTTTGAATTTATAATTAAGAACATAGAATCTGAAACATAGTTAAAAATAATATAAATGCTATTTGAAAAAATCAGGTTATAAAATAGCATATCCAGGGGGAACCAGTAGATGGCATAATGGCTATGTCGCTGGACTCTCATGTAGTCGACCGCGGTTCGAGTCCTGTACCTGGTGGCTTAAACTCACGCCGGGCACATGTGCACGTGTGCCCAAGATCCCGAGAGGAGAATGGAGGAGAAGGGATTGTGGCATGGCCATCCCCCTAGGGGGTGCTTTCTCACTTTCTGTCTCTCCATCTCTCTGGTGAGCACACACGCACCCTATAGCAAAAAACTCTCAAAAGAAAAGCAAGCATATCCAGGGCCAGCCAGTGGTATGGTGGTTAAGGTGACTAAATCCCACATGGCTGACTGCACAATTCAAGTCCTGGCCCGGGCAGCTTGAAAATCAAACTGGGCAGGACCAGCAGTTAGCGTAATGGCTATGTCACTGGACTCCCACGTAGTTGACTGCAGTTCACTTCCCAGACCGGGTGGCTTGAAACTCACGCCGGGCGTGTGTGCGTGCGTGCCCAAGCTCCTGAAAGGAGAATGGAGGAGAAGGGATTGCGGCATGGCCATCCCCCTTGGGGGGGTGATTTCTCGCTTTCTGTCTCTCTGTCTCTCTCTGTCTGTCTGGCAAGTGCACACGCCCTATAGCAAAAACCTCTCCAAAAAAAAAAAAAAAAATCAAGCTGGGCACATGCGCATGTATGCCCAGTATCCCAAGAGGAGAAGAGATTCAGTGTGACTTTCCTTCCTGGGCGACACTTTCTCACTTTCCCTCTCTCTTTGTCTCCCTCCTATAAGTGTATGTGGCCTATAGCAAAAAACTAAAATAAATGAAATAAAATAGCGTATCCAGTGCGAACCCACATAGGGCCTTGACTCCACTGTCTACATCCAGTCTCTCTAGTCGGTACCTGGGTGATGGGCACACATGTGTATGGTGTACTCTGGAGGTCTCCAAACTTGAACCAGGAACCTTCCCAGGTGAGATTGTTTCACAGCGCATTGCATTTTACTGCTGTGCCACTGTCTCATCTCAGCAAATAGTATTTTAATACAGGATATCCTGAATTAATAGCAGTCAGACCTGCCTACCAACATATTAAAGCGTAAACACATCTTTTGGAGAGCCTCGTGGAACCATTCTGGCCATCAAAGATATGCAAACACAGCTCTGAAGTATGGCAAAACTCATGTATAAGGTCCTATTTAAATGATATGGAATTATTTATTTTGCTACTCTCATCAAAATGACCCCCCAGCTGTTAGAGAATGACAGACGTGCTTCTCAAACACCATGAATCTATGGACTCTGAGTGAATGAGTGAATGCAGGCTCAGGGAATACGGCTGGTGTCCTGCTTGTAAACAGCAGGACACCATTAGATGGGTGTGTGATCTGATAGATGTGTTTTTCCAAATTCCAAGGCATAATTTAGCCATAACCCCCTAATCAATACCGATACCGACCTGCTTAGGAAATCCCTTTTTTTCTGATTCTCTATAAAACAATTCTCTCTAAAAAATAACTTTCCTCCCTCCTTTGCCCTAATAAATCCAGAGAACGAGAGCGGCTTCGCGGGCGCGTACCTGGTATGGCTTCTCCCTCTTGACTCAGATCTCTGTGTCTCCAGGAGTTATTCCATGAGCGCTTCAGGTGACTCTGTGAGTCAGAAGAGTCACACTCAGCCCTACTCCTTCTCCAAAAATTTGCATAAGGAGCTCTAGGGCAGCAGAGAGTGCAGGAAGAAACCTGTATAACTCTTTTTTTTTTTTTTTTTTTGAGAAGTTTTCACTATAGGGCGCATGCGCTCACCAGAAAGACAGAGACAGAGACAGAAAGCGAGAAATCACCCCCCGGGGGGGACCACGCAGCAATCCCTTCTCCTCCATTCTCCTCTCGGGATCTTGAGCACGCACGCACATGCGCTCAGCGTGAGTTTTAAGCCACCGGGTCCGGGACTCGAACCACGGTCGACTACGTAGGAGTCCAGTAATATAGCCATTACATTAACTGCTGGTCCTGAAATGTATTTAACTCTTGAGTTTATTTAAGCACGGCACCTTTTTCCCCATGGCTCTCCTAGTAATATTAGATAGAATAATATCTGTTTGGGAAACACCATGCTAGAGTCCAGACAGAAAAAGTATAAGTAAATATTAAGAAGTAATCTAGAAGGACAGAGTTTGAATACTTCTGGAAAATTCCAGGAAACAGAAAAATAACTTTATCTGGCCAACCTCAACAAAACACTCTTAGGGGAAAAAAAAATACCCTAATACAAATTCATATTTGGTGCCCTATTGAAAGGATGACATTGGCATATCCATAGAAGCAAGACTCAGTCCCATCCCTCCCCAGAGGGCTCATGTGCTCACCAGACAGAGACAGAGAGATAGTGACAGAGAAAGAGAAAGCACCCCCACATGAGGAATGATCACACTGCAATCCCTTCTTCGTCTCTCTTTCCTTTAGGATTTTGGGTATCACACACACATGCACCAGGTATGTTTCAAGCTGCCGGGTCCAGGACTAAACCAAGAGATTGGATTCACCAGTCCACGGGCTGACCCAAGACTCTCAATTCTCAGTTTTCATCCCTCATATGGAGATGGGAATAAGACCAAAACCAGCATAGGAAATCCAACTTTGGGTTTCAGACAAGTGAACATGTGTGCAAATTCATCATTTCTTTGTTCTACGGCTATAGACAGGCTGTATTTACATAGAATAAATAGAGACTAATGTATACATTAATGCATCCATAGTCAATGGGTTAAATTCTCCAATTAAGAGACATAGACTGGCCTAATGGATTAAAAAACAGAAACCCTCTATCTGTTGCCTACAAGAAACTCACCTTATGGATAAAGACATACATAGACGAAAACTGAAGGGCATGCAAATAGAAATCAAAAAGGGACTGGAGTAGCAATATTGATTTCAGACCAAATAGATTTCAAGTCAAAGACTTTAAGAAAAGACAAAGAAGGGAATTATATAATAGTAGATGGGGGTAATCCAGCAAGAAGACATAATACTTATAAATATCTATGCACCCAACTCAGGCGCACCTAAATATATGAAGGGAAGAATGTTGGAGCTCAAAGGAGAGAGAGGGAGAAACACTATAATTGTTGGGAATCTCAACACCCCATTATCTCCTTTAGACAGATCTCCTAGGCAAAAAATAAATAGAGAGATACAAGACCTAAATGATACTATAAATCGAATGGGCTTGATAGATATCTATAGAACTTTCCACCCTAAGCCCACAACATAGACGTTTTTCTCACCCCGGCATGGAACCTTTTCAAAGCTTGACCATATGTTAGGACACAAATCAAGCCTTTACAGATTGAAAGGCATAGAAACTATATCCAGCATCTTCTCTGACCATGATGGAATTAAACTCAAGATTAATTTCAAGAAACACCCTCAGAAATACACAAACACATGGAATCTGAACAACCTACTTCTGAATGACTTCTTAACTACTGAAGAAATTAAGCCTGAAATTTAAAAAAAATATGGAAACAAATGATAATGAGTACACAAGTTTCCATAATCTATGGAAAAAGCAGTCAAAAGAGGGAAATTCATAGCAATTAGTGTGCATAAGAAAAGGATGGAAAGATGGCAAACATCATCTAACATCATGCCTCAGGGAGAAAAGAAAGAAAGAAACCAGATAAATCAAATACATGATGAAACAGGCAATATTACCACAGACATAGTAGAAATACAAAATATCATTAGAGGATACTATGAGCAACTATATGCCAACAAACAAGATAACTTGGAGGAGATGGACAAATTCCTGGATGCATATAATCTACCAAGATTGAATCAGGAGGACATAGAGAACCTCCCAGGCCCAGATGGCTTCACTTCTGAATTCTATAAAACTTTTAAGGAAGAGTTAACCCCTATCTTACTAAAATTATTTCTAAAGATTCTAAAGGAGGTAAACCTTCCAAATTCATTCTATGAAGCCTCCATTATCCTCATTCCCAAAACAGATATGGACATGACAAAAAAGGAAAACTACAGACCAATATCATTGATGAATATAGATGCAAAAATTCTCAACAAGATACTCGCAAATCGTATCCCACAACATATAACAATGATCATTCATCACGACCAGGTAGGCTTTATCCTAGGGACGCAAGGGTGGTTCAATATACGCAAGACCATAAATGTAATACACCACATTAACAGAAAGAAAGATAAAAACCATATGATCATCTCAATTGATGCGGAGAAAGCATTTGATAAAATACAACATCCTTTCATGATTAAGACTCTCAGTAAGATTGGTATAGAAGGCTCATTTCTGAACACAATAAAAGCAATCTATGAAAAGCCTACAGCTAACATTAGACTGAATGGGGAAAAGCTGAAAGCTTTTCCTCTGAAAACAGGTACTAGGCAAGGCTGCCCACTTTCTCCACTGCTCTTTAATATAGTACTGGAAGTCTTAGCCAATGCAATCAGAGAAGAGAACAATATTAAAGGCATTCGAATAGGCAAAGAAGAGTTGAAAATATCTTTATTCACAGATGCCATGATGGTATATTTAGAAGACCCAAAAGTCTCCATGAAAAAACTTCTTGAAGTAATAAGTGA